ATGGTGGATTCAGTCTTTGAGTCCGCCATGTTCTTGTAGTTGAACGTTCTTCTAGCAGGAATAAACACACGTGTTCCTAATTTAACAACACGTAAACCCACGGTCCGCTACCGGCTCACCCCCTGTTTCTTGTTTACAGAGGAGTTACCGGTACTTTTTCTTTCCTTTTCTGTGGCCTCCATAGTAGTACTGTTGTGATTCTCTTGTGATGTGTGCAATCTGTGGCAACGCCTCTTCATTCTGAGGGTACCAGGTTGACAGTTTTCTGGTTGCTGTTCCCGACTGGTAATTAGGAGCCCTAACTCTTGTGTAGCGACTTGAGCGGCCGCTCTGATCAACAGTTGTATAATATCGGGGTGCCTGTAATGCCATGTCGCGCATGAAAGGGTGTCCCTGCATGCACCGTCGATGGGCAACCCTGAGGCCATATCATGCTGCAGGCCACGCCAGCTCCTTTCTGCTCTTGTTGACCGTCTGCTACTTCTACTTCAAGCCTTCTCATTTTCACTGCCAACATTACCCAACATGATAACAAACAAAAATAAACCTAAACCAGCTCTAAAAAAATCACCTAAACCCTTTAACATTTCCTTTTCTAACTTCCGTGGCATTCGAACCTTCTGTAGTGTGGAATCGTTCCTCATTGAGAAGTCTCCTTATATACTAGCTCTCTGCATGACCAACCTCGACTCGTTTATCCCCTCTTCTGACTTTTCGATCCTCGGTTACCTTCCTCTCCTTAGAAAAGACTCTCAAACCCACATGCATAGCCTAGGAGTTTATGTCAAGGACCCTCTTCCATTAGCTCGGGAGCTCTCTCTCGAATCTCCAGACCATTCATATATGTGTCTCCGTCTATCTCTCCTCAATACTGTAAGCTACCTCTTCTTCCTCTATCGCTTTTCATCCTCCCAAGACTGTGGTGTACTAGAAATCATTTCCGACAATGCACACAAGGCTATCTCTCTTCATCCGCTTGCTCATATATTCGTGTTTGGGGACTTTAATGCCCACCATGCCAAGTGGCTTAAAAACTCTATAACTGGCCTTGCTGGCATACGAACCCTTAACTTCTCAATTACTCAATCCCTCACACAAGTGGTTGACTTTCTCACTCGTTTCTCCAACAACCATGATGGTAAAGCTACCTTTCTCGATCTCTGTTTCACCTCTATCTCCGAGTCTTGTCTGTTATCAACGAGCTGACTGGGACTCGTTCCGTGATTTCCTTCGCGATGTACCCTGGAATGTGGTCTTTAATCTCCCCGTTCAAAAATGCGCTCCTGAGGTCACCTGGATAAAACCTGGAGTCGGGGCTTTAATCTTCACAAGGAAATATAAGGTTAAATCACGCTCATCCCCTTGGTTCTCTGCTGCTTGCTCAGCTGCCATTGCCCATAGGAATCACTACTTAGCTTGTACCGTAGTGACATGTCTGATTGCAACAGACGTCTCTCTGTCTCAGCCCGTAATGAGAGCAAGCGTGTTCTCAATGAAGCAAAGTCACTATTTACCGATAGAATGAAACAACGTATTGCATCCCGCAAATTCGGCTCCAAAGATTATTGGCATCTCTGCAAGAGCGTACTAAACAATAGCAAAGCCACAATACCTCTTTTGTTCAACCAATTTGAGGTCCTGACTTCCTCAGCTGATGAGGTCAAGTTCTTTGCTCGTAAATTCTCATCCAATTCAACGCTCGACTCGTCCGGTGTACCCACACAAGACCCCCCCCCTCCAGAACTGAGGCTCTGTTGAACGATTTGCACATAACCCCATCGTTGGTATTGGGCATCATCTCTAAATTAGAATCCCATAATGCTAGCGGTGGGGACGGGATACCAGCCATTGTCCTGAAGAAATGTGCTCCTGAACTGGCCCCTGCCCTCTCCAAATTATATAACTCCTGCCTCAACGGCTTCTGCTTTCCACCCTGTTGGAAGTCCTCATGTATTGTTCCTGTCTTTAAGAACTCTGCAGACCCTTCTGACCCATCTAACTACCGTCCTTCGGCAAAGTTTTTGTAGCGTTAAGCACCATACATCCCATAATCTGCTTTCCAACAAGCAATATGGTTTTCCGCTTTGCCTGATCTACTGCTGACGTGCTCACGACCATAACTGGATTTGTTTACCAAGCACTTCACAATAGCGGAGAAGCTCGTGCCGTGGCTCTAGATATCTCTAAAACGTTTGATAGGATTTGGCATGCCGGCCTCCTCCATTAGCTTCAGACGTACGGTATTTCAGGACGATTATTTGACTTAATACAATCATTCCTGTCAAATCGTGTAATGAAAGTCGTCCTTAACGGATTCTTCTCCAGTTCCTTTCTCACAAACGCAGGTGTTCCCCAAGACTCTATTATGGGTCCTACACTGTTCTTTATCTTCATCAACGACCTTCCCGTTGCCATGTTCCCAAGTAGGCATCTATGCAGACGACACCACTATTTACTCTTGTCTAAATAGCAAATCTGGTATCGCTGATAAAACTACCCTGGCCATTGGTCTCGAAAAGGACCCCAATCGGTTGTTGACTGGGGCAGGAAATGGCTGGTTAACTTTAATGCCTCAAAAACAAAACTGCTCTCTATTAACCGCCACAGAGAACCCTCCCTTCCCCCCATTAGAATGTCTGATGCTCAACTCCACGGGAGCACCTTTTTCCGATTGCTTGGCCTCACACTGTCCGCTGACCTGAGATGGAGCAATTACATTGAACCAATACCTTCATCTACTGCAAGGAAAATTGGTTCTCTGTTTCGTGCCACGATGATCTCAGGGCAGGAGGTTCGATGTTTTAAACCTGGGTCACTAGTAAACAATGGGGGATGGGCGAGATACTTGGTTTTGTTTACTCTTGTTCTCACCTCTATTTGTTTAGTATTTGTTTTGATTAAAAGGTTGAATCAATGTTTAGATATCCCAAAGTATAATTTTGGTGAAGCGAGAAGAACTCGTGATTGAGATAAGGTAAATAATTGGAGAATAGGTTTACATGTCAAGGGATAGTTTTTGGCACTCGTGGTAAAGGGCTCAGCGTGCGGGCCGGGCCGAGGGTCAATTGTGATCAGCTGAAATTTTTCTATATTAACTCGAGATTTTGCTAATAAAGTCGAGAGAGTCACGAGACTATCGTCGCAGTGAGTCGAGAGATTTGCGGGAGAATTTTGGAGGAGAGAAAGAAGACTGCCCCCTGTTCTGAGAAGTCTGTATGAGACTGGACTATTAGTCATAAACCTATCCCAGGCGATTCAATACGCGTTTATCACACACAAACCCTCTCTCTGTTGGGAATTCGCTGGATGCATTTTGTCTTTTTCTTTTCTCATTTATGTTAAATGTTTTTATTCTCCCTGTAACCTCTGTTCTGATGTTATCTTCTTATATAAAAGACGTCAATATTTCCCCCATTGTTGTCTGGCTTCTGCAGATATTATTTCTTGTTTTATTTTGCCACATTCTAAAACTTCCTAGCGCCAACTCTCACAGCCGTGTCCACATCCCCAGTCGACCGTGAACGTATGGACAACACCCCGCTTACTGGATCTAAAAACTAACACAGCGTGGGCAGCGAGCAGGACTTGACCAGTTGACTGGTCGAAATAATCTACGGGTACTCAGGGAGCGTACGGCCAGTTACCCCTAAGTTCGGTTCGAACCGAGTGGACACCTCAACCCAAAGAGGAAGACGCCGGAGGTTGAGGGGCTGGGGACGAAGTGGTAGATTTGGTTGCCATTGACCAGGATTGACCTTGAGTTACCACGGAAAATAAGGCCAGGAACAGCTTTGAAGAAAAGCAAGCCTTAAGTTATACTCAGGAAAAAAAAAGAGAAAAGAAGGAAACACCAGCAAAACAGACTTTGTTTGTTGCATCTAGTCGGGACCGACTAAGACCAGAAAGAACTCTAGTCTGCGGACGATATTAGTCAAAAAAAAAAAAAAAAAAAAAAAAAAAAATAAAAAGGAAACAAAACACGGAGCAGCGGACCTCAGGTAAGTCACTTTTTGGTTTCCTCTACTCACTCATTGCACTTAGATCTGCCAGTAATATTGTTGATTTTTGTCGACCTTGTACGCAGTTGAAGCGCCACCACCGTGTGAAGTATTTTCCTTTGTTCTGTCGTTGATCTCTCTTCTCGTGGGAAAGTGGCAGTTGATAAGACGCTAGGATGAGCGTAGCAGGATCAGACGCCACAACTGACCTTGGGGACGTGGGAGTCCCCGAAATAACGATAGGGTTCAGAAGGCTGATAGGTAGTATGAAGCTACCCACTTATAAAGGAAACCCTGCGGACCTGCACGAATGGATTTTCTCCATCTAAAAGCAGGTGATTTATGGCTTATCAGACCAGGAAATGGTGCTCTTGGCTTACGACGCCGCAGCGGGGCAGGTGTCTAAGTTTATAGGGGCATGGTACAAAGAAAACCCAGCCTCGACATGGACAGAGCTTAAATCCGCTCTGGTGCGGCAATACGCAAGTGAGCGTACGGCCATTGAGGCAGTCAGGAAATTATTCCGGCTGCAGTAACAGGAAGGAGAGACAAATGAAGAATTGGGAGAAAGAGTCGCGAGGCTAGCAGCATTAGCTTTTCCGGAATTGGTGACTCGGGACAGTGGCCATATTCAGGCATTGTTGGCCGATGAATATGTAGACGCGCTGAGGGGCGATGTTCTGAAGGGAGGACCGGTCACCTTGGCCGCAGCCATAGAAGTGGCTCGGACCAGCGAGCGACTCTGGGATAGGATAAGAGGAGGTGTAGGAAGGAACCACCAGGGAGCCAAGGTAATAATGAAAAAGAAGGATCGGGAGCGGATCCAGATTCGGGGACCGAAAGAAGAGGTGGAAGAGGACTGGGAGGCTGAGGCTGACCCCAGTAGGAGAGCCTGGGATTTGCGTTATGAGTTTTTCAAGCCCACACCGGGCCAATATGGGCTGGTGTGCTGGACTTGCAAGTATAGTGGGCATCGGGCATCCAAGATCTCGGGGACCGAACTGTACAACTTGTGGCGAGTTCGGACACAAGGCTCGATGGTGTACGGCGAAGGGGGACCGTAAACTGGGAATAAAGCGAGTTAATACGCCCCCCCAAAGAGAAGGAAAAAGGGTCCGGGAAACGCCAATGGGTCCCCGTGAAAAAGTAAGAGGCAGGGTGGCCCCAGTGCAAGTAAGACCTCTGAGATGCTGGACATGTGGTGTGGTCGGGCACCTTTCGGCCAGTTGTAAGGAGCGGAAGTGTTGGCAATGTGGAGGATCGGTTCACCTAAAACGAACCTGTCCTCGCAGGAGAAAGGCCACGCAAAACAGAACAACCCCAACTCGAATAAAGGAGAGAAACAGGTTACTAGTCCTGGGAAGGAGAGTCATCCGGGCTTTACCCAACTCAAGAAGGCCTCTAGATAGAAATTGGAGCCCCTAGAGAAGGGCGAACTCCTGTTGCCGCCCTCCATGTCTCGGCTGTCGAGCAAACGGAAGAAAGGGAGAGAACATGCGGGAAGGAGAAAGGCACAGGTGTACCGTTTGCTGAAGGAAGGACCAGACTCCACCTGTAAGGTGTTGCTTGGAGACAAGAAGGTGAGGGCCCTTGTTGATACGGGAGCTTCAGTGTCGCTAGTTAGCTCCAAGGTTTTTAGACAGTTGGGACTGAAAACGAAGCTTAGTCCTGTCGATCTACTAATAAGTCAGGCTAATAGTAGTAGGATGAGAATAGAGGGTATGACGTGGCTACCTTTCCAGTTGGCAAGAATCAGAGGTAAACTTAAGGTTTATGTGGCACCAGACTTGTGTGGTGAGCTAATTCTGGGGGCGACTGGCTTAGGCAGAATAAGGCACGGATCAATTTTGACCCCGCCACCCTAACATTGGATGGAGTGGGGATACCGTTGGGAGAGGATAATTATGAACAATTGCCAGTGGTTGCCCAGACGGATATAACGCTTCCCCCTAGGACTACTGTGTCGGGGAAGGGCAAGATTGTAACAGGAGGAGTGCTGAGCAGTGACTTGTACCAAGTGGTCCCTACTGATAGGTACGATGATAGGGAAAAGGAGATAACCGTAGGGGTCGAGAACTGTTCCCTTATTGTTAACTGATGCTGCCAATAAAACTATTAAAATTAAGCAAGGAGAGGAGCTGGCACAGGCGTGCCCAGTGAGAGAAGTCGAGCAGGTGAGAGTATGGAATGAGAATAGGCCTGGGAATAAGATAGGTAGCAAGGAAATAAGGAAGGAGGATATAAACGCTCCTGAACATCATAGGAGGAAATTGAGGGGGTGCTGAACAGTAATCGGGAGGTAATAGCCATTACTGACAAGGAACAGGGACAAACGGAGACAGTTGAAATGAAGATAGATACGGGTAATCACCCACCTATTAAGTTAAATCCGTATAGAAACCCAATCCACAAAACAAAATTAGTAGAGGACGCAGTGAATGAAATGATGGAATCAGGGATAATCGAAAGATCCAAATCTCCCTGGAGTTTTCCCATAGTCATTATGGAGAAGAAAGAGGGCATAGGTTTTGCGTGGATTTTCGTCAATTAAATGTCATTACGAAACCGCTGGCAGTTCCCATTCCCTTGATTGATGATATTCTAGCCCTTTTAGGAAAGTCGAAATGTTTTTCCACCTTAGATTTGAGGTCGGGATATTGGCAAGTGGCAGAAAGGATCGGGAAAAGACCGCTTTTTCCTGTCACATGGGTCTCTTCAATTTTAGAGTTATGCCGTTTGGGTTAGCAAACGCCTCGGGTGTATTTAGTCAGTTGATGGCCATCGTACTGAATGGCACGGAGGCCTTTGCCATGGCATATCTAGATGACATCATGGTGTTTTCAAGGTCACCAGAGGAACATTTCGAACATCTGCAGAAGGTGTTCGATAGGTTAAAAGAACATGGACTAAAGTTAAAATTATCAAAGTGCCAGTTTATGAAAGAAGAGACGAAATACTTAGGGTTTATCATAAATAAAGAAGGAATAAAGACGGATCTAGACAAGGTAGAGGTTATAAGTGCCATGCCCGCACCGAAGACCGTAAGAGAGATTAGGGGATTTATTGGAGTCATCAGATATTACCGGAGGTTCATACCAGCCTTCAGTCAGCTGGCAGACCCTCTAATAGCTCTAAGAAGCATGCTAGGTTTAAGTGGACCGAGGATTGTCAGCGTGCGTTCGAAGCTCTGAAGGACCAGCTGACAGCTATACTCCTGTTGGCCTACCCAGACCTGAGTAAGCTGTACACGGATGCTAGTGATAAGTGTATCGGGGAGGTTCTTACACAACCATGTCCCGACAAGGATGGCCCAGTACCAGGTGTGCCTGAGGAAGTGCCGATTTACTTTTGTCTCATCAACTCTCCGATACTCAGCAAAGATGTCCAGTAATAAAGAAAGAGGCGTATCCTGTATGCTTTGCAAAAGCTTGACTATTATTTGAGTGCGGCAGTGTTTACCATTAAAACAGACCACAAACCCCTCAAATATTTATTAGAGGCGGAGCGGACGAATAAGAAGATACAGCGATGGGCGTTGAAACTAAGTGGATATAACTGCAAGATAGAATACTTGGCAGGGAAGGATAATACCTGTGCTGATCTGTCATCGAGGATTCCGAAGCAACTAGAGACGGAATCTGTCAGGCTGGAGCCGGGTGTGGATGTTAAGGCATTCCAAATTAATGTGATCAATTCACGGGCACCGAGGGAAAGACTTGGTTGGGAGGATCAGGAAACGAGTGAGACGGAGATTATTTCCGACTCCCACTGGACAGACATTATTAGGCAAAACCAACAGGATAGAGAGATAGCAACTATCAGGTCCAAGGTAGAGGCAGGGCGTACCTCCAAATATATGGTGCATGATGGAGTGTTGTATTACCTTTCAGGAAAAGATGAGGAAGTAAGTTTAAAAATGGTGATACCTGGGATGTTGAGAGCCGAAGTTCTAGACCAGTGTCATATGAAGTTTGGACACATGGGAATTGATAAGACATACGGATTAATAATGAGGAATTATTATTGGCCTAAGTTGTTTAAGGATGTTGTGAACGATGTAGAAAAATGCGTAACATGCCAAGTACAGAGTCGAAGGAGTAGGGAGGCCCCAGTATTAGAAACGGATGTCCTGAATTACCCATTTCAGAAAGTAAGCATGGACATTTCCGGGCCCTATGGAGAAACTCCTAGAGGTAATCTTTACATAGTGAGTTTTGTGGACTGGCTAACGAATTGGCCTGAGGCATTTGCCATACCGGATAAAAAAGCGCAAACGGTGTCAGATATAATACTGAACGAAATATTCCCCAGATATGGGGCCCCCGAACAGTTGGTTTCCGATAATGGATCGGAGAATGTAAATCAGATTATGAGGGAGACGTTGAGGGAATTGAACATACAGCACGTAACCACCTCCCCATATCATCCCCAAAGTAATGTGAAGGTGGATAGATTTCATAATACTCTCGCTGATGTGTTAGCTAAACTAGCCGAGGATAATAGAGAGAATTGTGATTTATTCGTAACCCAAATGTTAGCGACCCTGAGGTTCTCCATAAACGAGACAACAAAATGTTCCCCTTACTACTTGGTATATGGCAGGGATGTAGTCTTACCTATAGACAATCTATTGCGATCTAGGAGGAAGTATTTAGGAGATGATCATCACTGTATGGTTCTAGAACAATAGCACAAAATGTTTACGCAGGTGAGGAGAAGGATTCGAAGAGCCCAGAAGAGGCGAAACGATAGAATAAACAAGGGCAGAGCCGAAGTCTCCTTCCAGATCGGGGACCCAGTGTATTATAAAATACACCTGAGAGAAGGTAAATTGGACCAGAGATGGAGCCCATATTATAGAATAGTAGAGCAGACGGGTCCGGTTTCCTTTGTGATATGGGACCAATTGACCGGGAAGGTAAAGAGGGTGCATTGCGAATGATATAAAACTAGCGGAAATGGGGGAATTAAAAGGAGCCGAAACAAGAACTAAACAGAAAAGGCTGAGGAGAACTACGTTAGTAGAACCCGAAGAGTTGGAGACGGGGAGTGAAAGCGAAGGGAGTGAAGAGATTGAAGTTAGCCCAACTACCCTTCGAAGGCTGAGGGAGGTAAAGCGGGACCTTCTGAGGAGGCAGGAATTGACCCTAACCTTACGGAAGAAGAGGAATTGAGTGAATGGGAAGAAGAGGATGAAATTCCGTTAGCACAATTGCAGAGTAAATTGCGGGCTGAAGAAGCGCCTGGTGTTAATGAGAGATTACCACTGAATCGAGCCCAAAGAGTAAGTGGAATCAGTATAATGGTTGTGCCGAATGAGTAACGATCTGGGACTGACCGGGCAATTATCCTCGGTGTTGTGGGTTGCGTGGAAGGGCCCCCATGCATGCACGGCACTGGTGGTGGTGCGGGTCAGTGCTTGATATGTTGCTCTAAGATATAACCACCCATTCAAAACCAAAACAGAATGATTGAATAAGACAAATTATTCTCTCCATATCATTGCAGACATGGACGAGAGGAGGCTCGCGGTACTGATGATGCTGGTTCTGGTAGTTTATACCTGGGAACACAGTGAGAATACTGTATTTAAGAAAACAAGCGGAGTAGTGGTTGATAACTTTGGTGATAGATCTGCAGTTGTATGAGAAGTTACTGGGTCAGCTGAAGATCAAAGTGGACAAACTAGATACAGCCAGGACACAAGTCGCCGGAGAATATTTACAGACTCCGGAATACCACCGTATATTATACCCCTTAGCTCAGGAATCCCTAATACTTGAGAGACAATGGAAGGATATGAGTTACTATTTGAAGGGAATAAAGTTGTTACGGACCAGGCAAAGGAGGGCAGTACTACCTATAATGGGAAAGGCATTGAGCGTGTTGTTTGGTACAGTCTCCGAAGACGAAGTGAGGGTAATTAAGAGGAAATTAAAAGTGGTAGAGCAGAGGCAACAAGCTATGGTTCAGTCGGTTAAAGAGAGCGTATCTATACTCAATAATTACTAGGCTGGAATTGGCTAAGAATAGAGGGAGTATCAATTGGTTGATTTCTCACCTACGGGTTTTTAGAAAAGAAGTCATAAATGTAACCACGTCTGTAACAACCGAATTACAGCAATTAGAAGGGTTTTTGTGAAGGTATTTTCAGTTGTTAGCTATAATGAGGTACGTCATTCTTTAACGGTGTTGTTGGAGCATGTGAAGACACAATTAGACATGCTGTCGCTGTGACACCTGTCGCCGAGTATAATAACCCCGGAACGATTAAGGGAGGCACTGCTGGAGATACAAGCCAAGCTACCCCATCATCAGCAGTTATGGAAGTATTATAGTGCCTTGGGATGTGCTACCCTGTTGGAAGATGATAAATTGCTCGTGCCGGTGCCATTACTGGACAGAGATAGCACCTTTGAAATTTACCAGGTGATGAATCTCCCCCTTCCCAATCCAAAGCTAGAGCCGGAGATAAGAGCAGTGGCAAGGTACAAAGTAGAGACGGAATTTGTTGCCCTAAATCTGGCCAGAACGAAGTTTATGCTATTGACACAGGGAGAAGCAGAAAAATGCAAGAATGACGCCTAAGGTACCTGTGGGTTTGTGAGTCCAATTTATGTGACAGGTAGCCACGATCTGTGCGTACTAGAATTATTTCAGAAAAATAAGAACGGAATTAGGGATCATTGTCAGGTAGAGGTATTAGCCAGGGTAATGTTGCCTAAAGCCATCGGTGTCTCCGACGGAATTTGGGTGGTGGCCACACAAGAGATTGAATTATCCAATGTGTGTGCGGGGGAGCCCACTACTACAATAAGGGTTACTTCCCCCTTGTTTTTTTGTAGAGCTACCCCTCGGCTGTGGAGCTCATGGTTCATCTATCTCCTTACTCCCCTACTACCGGGCGGAAGAGACATTTGAAGAGAATGAGGCTGGTAGAAACGAATGCCAGTGGATGGACGGAATTGTGGGAGTCCATTATAAGAGAGATTCCTAAGATGTCCCTAGAAAAGATGCCAGCGTTGTTAAAACCAATCGATAAGATTGATCTTGGATGATTGAAGTCACAGTTAGATAAGTTGGGTATACCAAATTCGGGCTGGAGAGAGAACTTGGTTGATATAATAACCTGGCCGACCGTTGTGGGAATTATACTAATAATAGTCGTGGCCTTGCTAGTTTGGTGGTGGATGAAGAGACGTACTGTATCGTCGACCGGGCAGAATAAACTGGCTGGGGAGTGCAGGAGTGAGGAGGGGGATTCCGGTTAGTGCACTTTACCAAGGTGAGGTCCGACCCAGGGTGCATGGGACCCCTAACAGATATTGAGAAAGAAGACCGAAAGGAACTTGAACCATCGAGTCCACAAAGCCTGTTGTGAAAGACAAGACCGGACGGACAGAACGAAATAAAATTGAATTTTTTTTTTTTTTTTTTTTGCGTAATGATCTCGAGAAAAAATCAGAGGGACAGAATAATAATTAAAAAAAAATTGAAAGATTTTTTTATGGAAATTTTTTTTTGAAAAAAAAATTTAATTTATTTTTTTTTTTGGTTTTTTAATGTTTTTCCAATTATATGTAGTGAGACTGAAAAAAAAATTGTGATTATCCAGTGAACTATCTTGAAAAAAAAAAAAAAGCATATGAACCAATGAACTATTTTGAAACGGTTCTATTACATGAGATTGCCAAACCCGTGAACTTTTACATATGTATCATAAGGACAATGAAAATGGGCATAATGAGCCCTAAGAAGAACTGAGGACTCTACCTTTGCATGCTGGAAGAGACGTATAAGTAGACGCCAGTCAGAAGCATGTTGGACTGGGTTTTCTTGCATTTTTGGTGACATGAAAACTCATGTGTCATTTACTAGTAAATGACAGATGGGTAAGGGAGGAATGTAACAGAGAGAGGTGTACACATACACTCACATGAACGCACACACGCAAATATAACTTTTATTGACTGGAAATGGAAACGGTGTTTATATATCAAAGTACAATTTGGGTTAAGATGTGTGTTTACCGATGAGAAACACGATCTCAGGGCAGGAGGCGATGTTTTAAACCTGGGTCACTAGTAAACAATGGGGATGGGCGAGATACTTGGTTTTGTTTAACAGTATTTGTTTTGATTAAAAGGTTGAATCAATGTTTTGATATTAAAAAGTATAATTTTGGTGAAGGGAGAATGTTTCGTGATTGAGATAAGGTAAATAATTGGAGAATAGGTTTACATGTTTGGATAGTTTTTGGATCTAAAACTCGTGATTGAGCCGGGACTTGAAGTTGGTCAAATTGTGATGGAGCTGATCCTTTTTCTATATTAACTGAGATTTTGCTAACCCAAAAAAGAGTCGGGGAAAGAGACTGTAGTCGAGAGGTCACAAGGACTATCGTCGCAGTGAGTCGAGAGATTTGCAGGAGAATTTTGGAGGAGAGAAAGAAGACTGCCTCCCCTCTGTTCTGAGAAGTCTGTATGAGACTGGACTATTAGTCATAAACCTACCCCAGGCGATTCAATACAAAGATGAAATTATTGAAACACACAAACCCCTCTCTGTTGGGAATTCGCTGGATGCATTATAGTTTTTTCGACTTCAAGAATTATTTTTTTTTTGTGGTTTTTTCTCATTTATGTTAAATGTTTTTTATTCTCCTATAAACATTTCTTTTCTGATGTTATCTTAATGAATTTCAATTTAGATTAATATAAAGTGGATAAGTAACTCAACGAGTTTTTCATGAGTCAACTAATGGTGGGAATGACTCGTGAAGATATACTTCTTGTGTCTTTGAATCTCGAGTTTCAAGAATTCCTCGTGAACGTGGGAATGATGGTACTTTCAATGAATATTAATGAGCACAATCAAACAGAATAAAAGAAATAAAAACAGCAGCAACAAATAAAGCGAATAAGAAAAAAACATAGAGAGAAAAATATATAAAAAGAAAAAATACAAAAAGAAATTTTTATATGTTAGATCTAATTTTAAAACTAAACTCTAAATCATTTTGTGATATGAATATTTATTTTTGCTTATTTAACAGCTCTCCCAGGCTAACACCTGAAACTATGAGAAAAAAAATCATGCCTATCGTTGTCTTTTATTAAAAAATATTTTTATGGGATTCAGGAAGAACCATTAATCATTGTTTCTGGTTTAATAAAATACTCTTGTAATAAAAAGTTAAAAAAAATAGCAACAGCAACGTCAAGAGAAGTTCAATAAATTAAATAAGTTACAAGTACGATAAAAAATTGACATTTTTTATTCGACTGTTTCAGAGTAACACGGAATCTTCTGACATTCAATACAAGGGTGACTGGCGTCTCTTTGACAGAAACTTCAAACTAGAGTCCGAAGAGTTCCACAAGCAGGGAAGGAGATCATTCTAGGATTCCATTCGAATTTACAAATTCCAGAAGTCATAAGAAACCATCGTCAGAGCGTCAAAGATGTCGCCAACAGCATGGAAATATCGCTATATGCGATGAGAAAGCCTCTAAAAGAGCTAGGCTATCAAAGAAGAGTTGCAAGAAAGAAGCCCTTGATTCCAGAGGTTAACAGGAACAGGCGTATGGACTGGGCGAGAGAATTCTAGAGTAAAGATTATGAATTTTGGCAGGCGGTAATTTGGTTAGATGAAAGTAAATTCTGCTAATATTCGAATTCGAGATATGTTTATGTTTGGAGAAATCAGAATGAGATTTGGAAAACTAAATGTCTGCAGGCGACCGTGAAACATGGTGTGGGGCGCTGTCTGGTTTGGAGGGAAATCTGAGCTGATTCTTGTTGGCGACTGGTTGAATGGGCCAAAATTCTGTCAAATATTAGAGAAAGGACTACTTCCACTATTTGAAACCAATCAGATTGACAAGAATGTCTACTTTTTTTCAAGAAGATGGAGCGCCATGTCAAACGAGCAAAGTAGTAAAGGCATGGAAGGAATCGCAAGGAATCAAGTCATTGCCATCGGCAACCCAAAGTCTTCACACGAATCCAATAAAACACATTTGGGAGCACCTTGACCGAAGACTTCGAGAGTGTGCAACCAAAATCACGTCAATGACAACCCTTAAAGAAACATCGTTAAAGGAATGGCAAAATATGGATCGGATGATTGTTGATAACTTGATCAAATCCATGAAAAATCGAATACAAGCACTGAAACTAGCAAATGGAGGACCTACTCCATATTAGTTCCAAATACTGTTTGTTTATGTTTAGTAGGGATAACATTAATTAAATTTTGAAATTGGATGTAGTTTATTTTACCAGGCTAAAAACTTTTCTTAGGCACTGTAGGTTAAACATTATATTTCCAATAAGCAAAAAATTTGCTGCTTTTAAAGATAATTTAAATTGATTGGAAGGAGTTA